GCCGCATTTTCATCTTCGTGGCCTGAATATAGCAGCAGTTCCCCTGTGTTGAGCTTTATCTGACCTGAGCCTATCCATCGAGACTCACTTATTCCCAAGATGGCTAGTTTGTATCTTTGCATTTCAGCAGCAACTTGGACAGTTTTTCCAGTTTCGAACATGGTCCTTACGTTCCATGTTCCTAGACTGGTGGTGGTCCTAGTGGAGAGGATGGTTGTCCGCCGGTTGGTTTCCAGTTGGCTTTGGCCACCCAGCTTCATTAATTCTCTGTTAGGAGACCCATCCTTTCCAAGGTCCGAGCTTCCTTTTGAAATCTTTCTTTGTGTTTTTGTAGCAGGGCTTTTTTTACAGGGAAGGGTTGCTAGCCCTTCGCCCAACCCTCCTCCTTTCTCACCCGGGCTTGGGACCGGCTACGGCGGAGTTAGAATTGTATAATAGAAAATGATAAATTTCTACCATTGGGACCAGGGAATCAAACGATGACTGCTGCTGGAATTAGCCATGTATTATTTTTAATGTACTTAAATTCAATTATATTCTCAGAATTAATAATTAATAATTTAAATGTATGTTTAAACATTTGTTGATTTTATTTTTACGACATTAATAATGTCAATATCTTTATTTGAGAAGAGTTCCATTATTTTTTTTTATACTGGTCGGAGTTATTTCCGTATTGAGTTCACAATCAGATGATTTGTTTTTGTTTCATGTCATTCGGCTAACTATAATACATTGCTTATACAATTTCTATGTCAAAGTGAAATTTCACCATGAACGTAATTTTAGCTGTTAAACAGTATATAAGTAAAATGATAGAGGGGTGTGGAGGAGGAATGAAAGTACTCCTTATGGATCGAGAGACGGTAGGGCTGTAGGTCTAAACTAAATCAAAATCTAAAAAATTAGGCTCATATTATAATTACATTATTAATATTTTTAAAATTATTAATAGTTTAGTTAGGCCTATTAACTATTTATTTTTTTGTGATTGTTATTATATAATATAATGTTAATGTGAATCCTGCCCTAGACCTAGGCTAAGCCAAGCCTAATTTATACTTATTTTATATGTGAAATATGTCGCTATACTTATACTATATATGAAATTGAATATGCCTTATTTAACTTATTACTTATTATTAGTATTAGCTATTAGGATATAATATAAATAATATTAGTAGTAGTCGATTCAAAATAAACGCAGAGCATTCCAGTTTTTCCCAGTCTTTTTTCCACACTCACAGTACCCACAGCCCACAGTCGCACACCCACCATTACCCCATTAGTATACTATTAGCACCTAAAAAAGGGTTTAAAGATATGTTTAGCAGCATTACAACTTATCACTTGATATTCTCAGTCTAACATGCCCCTCCCCCCACCCCAACCCCACCTCCTAGACCAGTCGTTCTCAACCTGTGGGTTGCAACCCCTTTGGGGGTTGAACAACCCTTACACAGGGGTCGCTTAAGACCTGTGGGTTGCAACCCCTTTGGGAGTTTTTTATGGTGGATTAGCGGACTGGCCCGTACCGATAGCCAGCCAAGGAAACAGCGCACATGCGCAGAGAGACTGGACAGAGAGTGTGTGTTTATGAACCGTGTTCCGGACGCAAGCAGAAAGTCAACACCTGATTGAGAACTTGTATTTATGTATATATATGTTTATGTTACTTGTTTGAAATAAAAACAATGAAAACATAACAAAATGGTGGCCAGTATGGGGATCACAGAATCAACAAAACAGTATGATGTTAACTCAATACAAAACTCATTACAACCGAGTGATAGTTTGATACGCACGAGTGAGTTCACGGAACGGAGGAGGTAAATACACAATGGAGTCAAATCTGACCCAAGCTGACATAATCCAGAAGCTCATACAGCAGAACGAGCTACTTTTGACACTAGCAACAGGTAATAAGGCTACTAATATGAAGTTTACACATTTCAATAGTAACGAGGAAACGTTCACAGACTACTACGCTAGATACGTTAACTTCGTGTTGGCAAATAATGTGCCAAAGGAAAGGCAGGCACAAATTTTTTTAACAATCCAGACGCCAGAGCTGCATAAAATGTTATCAACCATCGTACAACAAAAAGAACCACCACAAAATTTAAATGACTTGAACATAGAAGAAATTTATAGAATAATGATGGATCAATTTGACCCCACCAAATTTGTAATCAGAGAAAGGTTCAAATTTTGGTCCGATTCTAGTAGAAAACCGGGGGAAACAATCAAAGAATTGGCAGCTAGGATCAGACAGGATGCAGCGACTTGTGAGTTTAGTAATATCAAAAATCCTCTAGATGAAGCTTTACGAACAAGATTCATGTGCTCTGTAAAGAACGAGGCTGTATTGAAAATTTTGTTTCGGATGAAGGACACTGAACTGTCATTCAACAAGGCAGTAGAAATAGCTGTTGAAACAGAGGAGGCAGCGAAATGTGCCAAAGAAACAGTCCATGAAGAAACACCTATCAATAAAATTCAGTCACAAAGAAAGAAGCAACATCAGACAGCAGAGAAATTTTCTCCATCTCAAAGACAGGATTTTCCGAGTGGAACTTGTGGCAGGTGTGGAGTAAGAGGCCATAAAGGAAATGTCTGCAGGTACAAAGACGTGATCTGCCGCTTTTGCCACAAGGGGGGACATCTAGAAAGAGTTTGTCTAAATAATAAAGTGAATGAACCGAAACCGATTCATCTAAAAAGAATAAGAAGGCAAAACCAAATAAAAACTATCCCGCCCATTATTCAAGAACTCATTTTAGAAGGAAAGAGGTTTGCATTTGAAATTAACACTGGAGCCGGAGAAAATTTTATGTCTGAATCTGTTTGGCGAAAGCTGGGACAACCCACATTGAGCCCAGTATCGGTCAAGTACGAGTCAGCGTCTGGTGACCTACTTAATGTTTTGGGAAGTGTGCAGATAAAGGCTGAGGCAGGGGAAATAACTACAAATCTGTCTTTTGTAGTGAAAAACCACAACTTAAATTTTTTGGGAAGAGCCGCAATAAAGAACCTCAGATTTCAATAGACACACTGTTTCAAAGAAAGATAAATCACATTGCTTATCAAAACTCATTGATTAATGCTCGTGAACAAATCCGTAAGTCAACTGAACATTGCATTTCGGATTCTCTTAGTCGTCTACCCTCAGGGCCGGAGAGCATTTTAGATGTTGAAGAAAGTAAAGCAGACATGGATTCTGTATGTATGATCAAACAAATCAGTTTACAGATCAGACCAACAGACCCAGGAGCCCTTGCTAAAGAGTCACTTAAAGATTCTACAGTGTCTACAGTAATGAGATATTGTCAAGAGGGCTGGCCGTCCTCTACAAACAAAGAACACTTGAACAAGGAGGCAGCTAATATAGCAGCTTTTAAAAATATTCAAGACTCACTCTCCGTGGAGTCGAATTGTCTATTTTATGGTTCAAGAATTGTGGTACCAAAAATACTACAAGCTCAAGTTCTCCAAATCCTGCATACAGGACATTTTGGAATCGAGCGGATGAAACAGTTAGCAAGATCATCTGTATATTGGCCCGGACTTGATACTCAAATCATGGAGATAGGTCGAACATGCCAAGCATGTGCAGAACACGCCAGAGACCCAAATAAAGCAAGAATCCACCCATGGATGTTGCCAGAAAAACCATGGAGTCGAGTGCATACCGATCATGCCATTAACTTTAAGGGATCACATTGGCTGGTGGAGATAGATGCTTATTCAAAGTACCCGTGTATCCACAGGACAACATCTACATCGACCAAAGCTACCATTGATCTTCTGGAGGAAGATTTTGCTCATTTCGGCTATCCACACACCATAGTCAGTGACAATGCTACTTGCTTCATCTCAGAAGAATTTCAGCATTGGTGTAAGGAGAGGTGTATTGTACATCTTGCAGGCGCTCCCTATCATCCTGCTACAAATGGAGCTGCCGAACGACTGATTCAAAGTTTCAAGAGTTCACTAAAGAAATCTTCATTACCTTTAAAGGAATCTCTACAAGACTTTCTGCGTCAGTATCGTAGGACACCATTGGCAAGTGGATTATCACCGAGCCAACTGCTGAACAATCGACAAATAAGAACACTTATTGATACTCTAGTTCCCTCTCCTGCTCATCGAGCTCATCAAGCACAGGGACAACATCTTAAAGAAATAGCCGTCCGTAATGGGACAAACAGAAGTCCTAGTCGATCATTAACCGGGGAGATCCATGTTACGTCAGAGTATATGGAACAGCAACAGACTCTAAACCACGATGGGCTCCCGGTACAATCATCCACGTTATGGGTCCACGTCCAGGTAAAGATTTATCCAAATGGTCCCATTTGGAAGAGACATTTAAACCAACTTCTCCCCAGGTATGGAGCAGAAGAAGATTCAGAACCAAGTTTGGATATAATGACAGGAAGTCTTTATCCAACAGCTCAGGCAGCCCTGAGTCATCAACCGTCTACACATCCAGCAACTCCAAGTCCACCTAAGAAGAAGATTAACCCTCAACATCCAGGACCTTCAGACTATGTCATACCCAGAAGATCTCAAAGACAACATCGAGCACCAATGTTACTGGACTTGTAATTGTTCGGGGAGGTGTTATGGTGGACTAGCGGACTGGCTTGTACCGATAGCCAGCCAAGGAAACAGCGCGCATGCGCAGAGATACTGGACAGAGTGTGTGTGTTTATGAACCGTGTTCCGGGCGAAAGCAGAAAGTCAACACCTGATTGAGAACTTGTATTTATGTATATATATGTTTATGTTACTTGTTTGAAATAAAAACAATGAAAACATAACAGGGTTGAACAACCCTTACACAGGGGTCGCCTAAGACCAGGGGTCTCAAACTCGCGGGCCCTTTGCGGCCTGCAAGACGATATTTTGTGGCCCGCTACATGACAGCAAATTTTGGTATTAATGCGGCCCGCGCGTTTTCCCAATTCACTAGACAATATTCTATGGTGAGTAAGCAGGTGGCGTGAAAGCCCTATCCTATTTGAATTTGTGTCTGCATAAAGAATAGACTCATCAATAGAACACACGTGTTATGGGGTCCAAGGGGTATTGGCATTGAAGGGACTTTTGCTTTTCTTTGCTGTGTGCTTTCTTTTGGCATGAGTGGTGCAATTTTCTTTTACTCTCTGAAGACTGTGCTCCAACAGTGAGTCTACTTTGCCAAACTGTGCAATCCTAAGCAAGTGTTTCCCATGAGTTCAGGATTTGAGAGAAACTTTTGAAATATTTGTTCTGCACACCAGCTGAGCAATTTGCCTTTGGATCATTTACAGTGCATTACTTTAGGCAGTCTTCAATCTGGAATTAACAAAGCATTCGTTTAGGCAGTCTTCAATCTGGAAATAACAATGCATTAGTTTAGGCAGTCTTCAATCTGGAAATAACAATGCATTAGTTTAGGCAGTCTTCAATCTGGAATTAACAATGCATTAGTTTAGGCAGTCTTCAATCTGGAATTAACAATGCATTAGTTTAGGCAGTCTTCAATCTGGAATTAACAATGCATTAGTTTAGGCAGTCTTCAATCTGGAATTAACTATGTATTAGTTTAGGCAGTCTTCAATCTGGAATTAACTATGTATTAGTTTAGGCAGTCTAATACATAGTTAATTCCAGATTGATTAGTTTAGGCAGTCTTCAATCTGGAATTCTTGCAGTGTGTCCAGCCCATCAGGCTTAACCTTTTTGTAAGCATATTGTAGGTGCCCTTATATTTTAAGAATGTGTGGATGCTGAGAAAGCAAGTCTGTTGTAGGATTTTGTATCTTAGACTTGTCCTGCCACAGTCTGCCAGGGCTAACAGCATAGGTGGAGATGATTTATTTAGTTATCTAGCATGTCTGCGGTACTGTCCATGTCTTGCTGGTCTATAGGAAAGTGGTTAGTATAATAGCCTTATAAACCTTAAGCTAGTTGATAAGACCAAGATGTCTTCACCCCAGACACTCCTGCAGAGTTTTCAAAATACTACACTTGCTTTGTCAATTCTGTTGTTTATCTCAACATCTTTTGTTTTGATAGGATGACTTTTAGTCATAACATTTACAATTGTGTTTTGGGAAAGGGGGGGGGGGAGGGATTGTTTTAGAAATTAAGAAGAAGTCATCTTCCATCTTTTATGGAAGGCCTTTAGCCTAAAGCTTTTTCTAAGAAACAGCATATATAGGAAAAATAGCTGTGAAATTTTGCAAAAGCACTAAAGGCCACTAAAGTTAAATCTCAATTTTTTTAATTCAATTTATTTGTTTTAAATTTTAGACCAGCATTGTCAGCATGGTGTATGCTCAGTCAGAGATCCTCCAGAAAGAGGTATATTTGTTTGAGCGCATTGACACAGCGGGTAGAGAGACTATGAAGCATTTAAACTGTATTGTATTTCTGAGGCCCACTAAAGAAAATGTAGATCTTCTAGCACAAGAGCTTCGCATGCCTAAATATGGTCTGTACTTCATATGTAAGTAAAAAAACTTTGTACAATACCTGCTACATGTATTCTTTGGGTTCATGGACTGAAATAAAAGTTTATCTTAATATGGGGTTTGTTGTATGCTTCTTGCATCATTAATATAAATATTAAATTTATTTATTTTTCTGCTGTTTAATTTTTTTCCTCCTCATTTCAACATTTTAACTAACTGCTCACCAACTTACATACCTTGTTTTCTCATTTTAGACTTCAGCAACGTTATTAGCAAGCAAGATGTTAAAGTATTGGCTGAAGCTGATGATCAGGAAGTAGTACGGGAAGTGCAGGTAGAACATGTGAATTTACCATTACCTGTTTGGTAATTTTAAAAGTTAAAGTTAAAACAATGAATGTCAGTGCAATGTTAAATTATTGTCTGCATAGAATGTCTTTAACTAAGATTTTTCTTTAGGAATTTGAATTTTTTATCTGCCAAAAAGTTTCTTATGTCAAATTTTTATTCAGGAATTTTATGGAGACTATATTGCTGTGAATCCCCATCTTTTTTCTCTAAACTTGAGTGGATGTTGCCAAGTAAGAAAACTATATTTCAAATTAACATAAGGTATTAATAAATGGGAATAAGGGTTTTATTCAAATAATCAAAAAAGTTTTTGTGTGTCTCTAAAATAAAAATTTAAAGAAAATGAATTGTTTTATTTATGATAATACTCTTTTCATGATGATTTGAAATAAAGATTTGATAAGATAGAAGACCTAATTTCAGCTCAAAAGGGACATGTTAACTAAAGAAACCATAACTCTCTCTGATAACAATGAAGAAAGTAACAAAACTTTATTTCAATAAAAATTACTTCCATTAGTTAATCACTAATTTTGAAGGGAGAAAATATATTTTAAAATCTTGATTGATGAAGCTGTCATTTGAATTTAATGTGATCAAGCTCTTCAGATATATTATTAATTTTAATGTGAACATTTTGATTTCTAACAGAACCTGACCTGGTCACCACCTTTATTGTCACGTACAATACAAGGCCTAGCTTCTGTGCTTCTTTCCCTAAAGAAATGTCCCATGATTCGTTATCAGAATTCATCAGAGATGGCTCGAAGACTAGCAGACAGTATTAAGGTAATTGCATGTCATATATTTTCAAATATTTAAATGCTTTATTTGAGTTAGACTAAGACAATTTTATAAATATTATTTTTAGGACATTTTCTAAATGTGAGAAATGAAAATATATTTTCGCTACATGCTTAAACATTTCTTAATAAGTGAATGCAAAAACATTTAGTGAAGGCAGAATATAAATTAAAAAGTGGGAAAGCATCAGGTTAAATTACCTTGGTTGTAAAAAAACATTTTAACTTTTTATAACCAGTTTGTAATTTTATAAGAACAAATTAAAGATAAACAACTGTGTTTTGATCAACTCATTCAGCTATAAACATTGACATATTAAATTGATTTAATTTTCCCTCTTTCCCAGCAAGTCATAAGTAAAGAAGCAGCTCTGTTTGAATTCAGAAAAACTGATGTTGCTCCTGTTCTGCTTATACTGGACAGAAGAGATGATGCGGTCACACCGCTGCTCAATCAGGTTTGTGGTTTCCAATTTTTTTTTAAATTTTTAAATTTTTTTCCCTTGCTATGGGTAAATTGTGGACAAAAAGTGTGTTAGCAGATTTAAGGTTTCTCTCATGAAGGGCTGAAATCATTTCCATTTATTTGGATCAATAAAAGTAAAAGAATCTTATCTTATCTTAAATCACCTATATGATATCTTATATGACAGATGCTGTCTAAAATATTTTTTTTTTAAAAAGAGAATATTTATAAAATTTTCAATATGATATTCTGACTACATGTATAAAATTTTAACATACCAATAAAATTTTTCTTTCCTAGCTTCTTCTTTTTCTATATCTTAAGGGCCCACGATCAATTTATTGATCATTTTGGCTCCTATGCATGTAGATGGGATTTGCAATGTTTCTGTTACTGGTGTTGATGAGGAAATCATGCACTAGGGGTTTGAAGGCTTGAGGCAATAGACACAAGACACAAATGTGTCTAGTGTTGTCACCTCAACCGTTCCTTTTAATGTCTTTAGAAGGAGAAAATGTTTCAAATAATTCTTATCTAGTTCCATTTCAATAATTTTGTCTTATTAATTTTTCTTAAAATGAAAGTTCTTGTAAATTTCCCTTTCAACAGTGGACATATCAGGCGATGGTGCATGAATTGCTCACAATCAATAATAACCGGATTAACCTGGCCTCAGTGCCTGGAATCTCTAAGGATTTGCAGGAAGTTGTTCTATCTGCTGAGCATGATGAGTTTTATGCAAACGTAAGTTTAGTTTCAAGTCAATGGATTTATAAAAGAGAAAATTGTGTTGAAAATGCAACAGCAATGTGGGTTCTGTATAAAAGAAAAAGTGAAAAGTTCTGTAAGATGAGATTTCTTCCTCTGACTTTGTAATGATAGCCATGTAAATTTTCAATTATTGTTTCCTCCAGTGAGTTTGCAAAGAGATAAAGTGATGCCAAAAAATAATATCAACGGATGTATTATTAAAGTATTATATAGCTGGTATTTATGTGTAACCTGCACCTCATTATGATTATTATTGTTTTCTAAAGAACATGTACATGAACTTTGGAGAAATAGGATCCAACATCAAAGAGTTAATGGAGGAATTTCAAAAGAAATCCCAAAGTCAAGCTAAAGTGGAATCTATTGCAGATATGAAGGTAATTTTGGCATTTAAAGATAATAAAGACAGTAATACTTCCTAACCCACTCCAGCCTATGCAGTTGTATTTTGTCCTACAAAAATCCAGCTCCCTAATGTGTGTATTTGATAAGCTCACTCAGGGCATACTTAGCCCATTCAATAAGATGTTACATTTAACAGCTATACTGTCAAGAACATGGATTTCTTTTTAAAGAAATTAAATGTTTTTATTTGCTTTCATACTAAGTTATGAGAGTTACAAGTTCACAAAGGGTTTCCGAGCTCTTGCAAAAATTACCAAAAAGCCCAGACAAAATTATCAAATGAATTGATGTAGAATCTATTGAAATAAATGAGGAGAGGGATATGTATGATCCTATTATTGAAGATAGATCTGAATCAGTGAAAGTACATGGGTAGTTAATGCTAATGGCAGGTGACAATATTGTTTGCCGTGAGCATTTGAAAATGTACTGATATTCAACTTCAGATATTATAATTGAAAGGATAGTCTATACCAGTGGTTTCCAAAATTTTGGAGCCTTTTTTTAAAATCAGTTTCTATGTTGGAGCCCCTTTAACCTACCCTATAGTGGGATAATAATTGTTGGACTGCATATGTTTGTTTGCTGATGAAGGCTCTAAGCCGAAACGTCTAAATCGTTTGTCCTGTTTATGCATTCAAGTTTAGCATACCTTGTTCTAATATTTCCTATAGCGGGAAAGAGCTGCTGCGGAGGCCTCGAGAAGTTCATGAGGAGCTCTTAGGTTGGGAACATGAAGCATAGGTTGGGATCAACACTGGCCTTATGTAAACTTTCGCCATGTGCGAAGCACCCATTCAGTGCCCCCTTCCCTGTCCCTGTATGGCTCCCCTCTTTTTCCGATTACGATGTAGGCTGTGGGGCATGTGTTATCATACCATACATGTAGCTAACCATACGCATTTTAACATGCACATTAGTTTAGACTTTTTAGTTTTTCTACGGTACTTCACACTTCACTATAATAATATAAGGGAAATTTAAATATTTACTGGGGCACAGGTCGCACATCCTCAAGGCCTGGTTTGTTGGGATCCACTTGTATACATATATATATTACCAAATTTTGTTTACTGGTTATTAAATTTCATTCATTTTTATTCTTAGCAAAAATAAAACAATGTTAGCTTTTCATTTTTATATTTTCTTTTTTTTTTAATTTCTAAAAATGTTAATGTCCCTTTTCTTTAACATATGACAACGTTTATAAGCAATATAGGGTAGGGAGGAGCTGATTAATGGCTTATGTCTTGTAAACAGAGCATGTACATAGGTACATCCAAATATAAATCAAGTTATATATAAGCTTACACATTTTATAATTTTTCTATTTCCAGGCATTTGTAGAAAATTACCCACAGTTCAAAAAGATGTCTGGCACTGTCTCAAAGCATGTCACCATAGTAGGAGAGTTGTCTCGCCTAGTTGGGGCACACACTCTGTTGGAGGTTTCAGAGGCTGAGCAGGAGATAGCGTGTCACAGTGATCATTCAGCCCTGTTGCAGGTGCATTAAATCAAAACCTTATATTCTGATAGAAAACTTTAGATGTTGTTAATTAATTTATTTATGTTGTCAAAAGATTTCAAAGTGCCCTATGTTTTCCAAATAACTTTTTAATTTTATATTCACTGTTAAAAAAAAGGTATATATATATATATATTTTTACATTATTAATTAAATTTTAAAAAGTAATATTGTTTTGGTAATTGATAAAACTTTTGTTATTTTTTAGCGCATTCGAGCTCTCCTGGCTAATGACAAAGTGCGGCATATAGATATGCTGAGGCTCGTGATGTTGTATGCGTTGCGATATGAAAGCCACAGCAACAATGATGTGTCTGGTCTTGTTGAAGCCCTCAAACAAAAGGGAGTCTCTGTGGAACATCGACAGGTAACATTTACTGGCTATGTACCTTGTTATATGAAATAATCTCTTAAAAAATGTTTCCAGTATATTATCTTATTTTTTTTAAATACACGCTAAACTTGCTTAAATTATGTGCCTCTTTCAATTTGCTCATCAAATTTTTTCAAACATCTTTCAAGTTTAGAAATAAAATATAAAAATCAAATGATGGCTATATACTTTTCCTTCTGAGAAAAAAAGACAAAGCATCATAAACCTTTCCTCAGAGCCATGACATGTTGACAGAGAAGGTTGTTTGCCTCTGGATGATTCTTTTTTTTTTTTTTGTGGGTTGGGGGGGCACTTTCCATCCACTTCCTATACTTTAAATAGCTTATTTTTCTCTTTAAATTGTAGTTTTTGTTTATTGGGGTAGAAGGAGGGGAAGACTTATTAATATCTATATAACCCTAATCGCTTCCAATAACAAGGTGAAAACTTTTCCTAACAATTTTATGCATGATACAGCATCTCTATTTTATTAAGAAATATTTTATTTATTAAAAGATAAAAATAAATTTACTATTGGTTTATTATTTTATTATTATTATTTTTTTTTTTTTTTTTTCGAAATTTAAAAAAAAATTATTTCATTATAAATAAAATTTCAATAACCGGTTTGTTAAAATTAAAAACCTTTTTTTTGTTTATTTTATGTATGATACTGCATCTCTATTTTATTAATAAATATTTTATTTATTAAAAGATAAAAATAAATTTACTATTGGTTTATTATTTTATTATTATTATTTTTTTTTTTTTATCGAAATTTAAAAAAAAATTATATCATGATAAATAAAATTTCAGTAACCGGTTTGTGAAAATTAACAACCTGTTTTTGGTTTGAAAGCCAAAAACTGGTTGATTATGACATATTGTCTCCAGTTGGCTGCTTGACTATCATGTCATTGTAATCTTTCACTAGCTCTGCCCCATCAACTTTACTGTGTTTGAGTTTATAATCCTAAAATTATATCATATTTTTTAAGCAGCTGTGTATTCATTGAAATAAAATTTTGTAAAATCATGTACTCTCATTCTCATTGCCTGGGTACCTATATTAAAACTAATTGTACCTCAGATTTTACTTAACATTATAACCAACTTTTGAAACTCATTCTTTCAGATGGTTCAGGCCATATTGGATTATGGAGGAAAGAAAGGAAGAGGAAGTGATTTGTTTGGTAACCAAGATGCTGTTGCTATCACCAAAAGGCTGCTTAAAGGTTTAAAGGTAATATACTTGATGTAACTATTGATAAATTATTTTTTTTAAAAATATAGCAGATGACATATTCCTTTTATTAAATTTAAACAATTAAATTTTTGCATTGTTTAATGTCATTCTGAGTGTTACCAAAACTCTCTCCCCCATAAAACCTCCCAACAAAGAAGAAACACAAGCAGAAGCATTTTTCCCTTTGCTAACACTTTAACACTGCTTTCCTGGAACCCTTCAGCTGTGTAAATACAGTGGAACCCCGCTATAACGCGATGATTGGGGGTCCATAAAATCGGATCGCGTTTAAAGCGGGACTGCGTTAATGCGCGTTCTTAGCACAGCGGAAATCCCTTACATATTACTATTTATAGTTCTACCGGAAGAAAGCCTCGTTTTCTGCATTAATTTTGATACTAGTTTGAACGTGGTGTGTTTAGGGGCTCATTTTCTACGATATTTTGAAAAGTTGTGATTTTTTTCGCTTTAAAAAATGGCTTTCCAAGCAATGGATAACATTTTCAAAGAACTTAGGCCTGATGGAGTAAATGAATTTCAAATTTCGGGAGCCATGCTACGACCGCGTTATACCCGAATTCGCGTTATGGCGGGGCACGTTATAGCGGGGTTCCACTGTATCTTCATTAATCAAACATATTATTGGTTCATATTTGAATGGAAGTAAGAGGGATTTTCTTATATTAAAATGCTTAAAATAACATGTCAAAAAAATACAGTTCTTTTGTTACATTACAATAATCCATGTAAACGGTTATCCCACCTTAAAATGCTGTCAGTGGAAAAATTCCACTATTCGGGTTTGCGTAATCCCTTCAGCGTGTCTTGATTGTCAAGAAAATTTTAACTAAAGGTTTTGTTGGAAAGGTTTGATCGGAAGTTGCATTTCTGCACAAGATTTTATCATCAGAATGATACTAATTAATTTATGCACTTTCTCCTCAGGGTGTTGAGAATGTGTACACCCAGCACAAACCATTGCTTTTCACGATCCTTGATCAGTTAATCAAAGGAAAATTAAAAGAAGCCAGCTACCCCTATCAGGGCACAGTCCAACTTAAAGACAGGTACAATGTGGTGCATGTTAGCCTGGATGCGAACAGAAAATTCTACATTTTTAACCCTTTTATTACCGCTGGTTTTGGCATCAATTTCTGCTGACTTAAAGAAGAAACTTCCGGCATTATTTCATTCTCTATCCAATTCGCTTATTAATTTCTCTATAGACTGACGAATAAAGAAATATTTAGCATTGAAATATGACGTCAAAGTGACGTCCTTGGTATTTCAGAAAAGCTCTTTGCCTTTTTTGTTATGACGACAATGTGACGTCCTTGGTAATTGAAAGTGGGTGATAGTGACGTCGCGTTGATGTCATCGGTAATGAAAAGGTTAATGTGTTTAAACAATTACAGAAATTATATTGAAGTCAGAGTGCAACACCACTATTTTTAAAGTTAATCATCAAGGTGTAAATATTATTTTATTTTACAATTCTTGTTTAGTAGTAAGTTGTTACATTCCCTTTAGCTAGTTTACATATTTTAAAGTTCAGAAGAAAAGAAGAAAAATTTTTTTTTTATAATTAAAGTTTTTAAAAAATATTAGACTACAAAAGTTTCTGACAAAATCTCAGGCTTTATAAAGTTATTAAATTTCTAGACAGTTTTAGAGAGTGTCTTATAAAAATTAATTTAAAAAACAACTTTAGTTAAAATTCACTCTGATCACATAAATATTGAAAACATTTGATGAGTACCCGGTACTTGATTAGAATTCCAGGAGACAAGCGACTTAACCACTGTAAATTCAATTTGAATTAAGAAAGAAAAAAAACGAGAAAAAAAAAAACCTCAAAATAATAAGGTGGTGTGATTTTTATTTTGAAAATATTTGTGTTACCAGGCCTCAGGATGTCATTGTTTTTATCATTGGTGGCTGCACATATGAAGAAGCACTAACTGTGCATAACTTTAACAGAACCATGCCTGGTGTACGTATTGTTCTAGGGGGGACGTCTATACTCAACTCCAAGAGGTTAGTGCAAGAATGTTGCTGTATGAAAACCATGTGTGTGTGTAAAACATCAGGGGTAATGATGCAATGTGAGTTTTTTTTTAAAATGTTCACATTGGTAACTTCTACCTTCATACTGATCATTTTATCTTATTTTAAATTTAACCGATAATTTATTTAGTGTTATTAATATGTGGAATTTTTAGCAGTGGGAAATAGTGATCGGCCGATAAATATTTCCATATTTTTTTGTGCTTCAGTTTCCTCCAAGAGGTTTCAATGGCCGTCAGCAGTCAAGCATCGACTTTACAGAGTGGACGAGTGGCTAGACCTTGAAAGTGTGAGATATACCCATAAGGCTGTTTGATTTATAAAAATATGTGCAGTATTTATTCAATGAGTTGATTAACTATTGATAAGAATTAATTTAAAAAATTGTTAATGACTAATTGCATGCTTCCAAAATATGGGATAGTTAGTCTTACATCAAAGCGCTCAGTCGGGGAGACAGATTTGACAGAAATAATCATCGGTAAGGATTACATTGCATTATCAAAATGAAAAAAAAAAAGAAAAATAAGAAGGGTCCAATTCTGTTTTAAGCATTTAATTTTAGACTATTCTTTTCTCAAAGAACCAAATCAACTAAATTTTTAACAATCTCTCAACAAAGAAAATTAAACGCAATGTCAGCTGTGCTGAGGAAAATTAACGGGGTGATTGGGAATAAAGTATTCACTACTTCCCAGTGCATCATAAAAAATGATTTAATACATTTGACAAGGTGTGAAGTCCAATGGACCATGTCAGGTGTGTTCATAGTTTGAAATTAAAACAAGTAATGCCGATGGTGTAAGACTAACACAGCACACTAGACTTTTAGACCAAGCTGTTAAAACTGACACACACGTGTTGGCATAGATTAATACCTGTCATCGCCATGTTTTACTTCGGATGTGAAGGTTTAAAAAACAAAAAAATGATTAGGATATATATTTTGATGTGCAATATTTTCATGTTATTATTGGTTGTTATTACTAACACTTGATGGCCCTTACAGTCAGGGCCCTGGCAAGAAAAATGCTGTGTCCTGGGAAGCCTTGATTTAGCTCCCCTCTAACACCCAAAAAAAAAGTATGCGTTAAAAAACATTAAGCCATTACGTCGGGCCTCACAAGCCATTGTGTCGGTCCACATAAGCCATGGTGTGGGTCCACACAAGCCATTGTGTCAGTCCACACAAGCCATGGTGTGGGTCCACACAAGCCATTGTGTCAGTCCACACAAGCCATTGTGTCGGGCCACACAAGACATGGTGTGGGTCCACACAAGCCATTGTGTTGGTCCACACAAGCCATGGTGTGGGTCCACACAAGCCATGATGAGGCCATTCCTGGGTTAATTTTTATTTAGAAAACATGCTTATTATGTCATGGCTATTTTGTAATGCTCTATTTATGCTTTAAGCCATGTCTTCTTAATATTAAATGCACTACTGTTGTCGGGCAACACAATTACATATTTGTATGGAAATTGTACATGATACCAACTGACATGAATCTTTTTTGCTTGAAACTATGGTAACAAAATATCATGGTAATCAAGAAGGACAGTTCGTACACCAGAAGGTTGATAAACTTGCCATTAGGGCAAGTCAGCCATTTGTACTGCATAGGAAACTCCAGAGCTGTTACTGGAAACTGAGATTTGTGGATCATAAATCAGTTATGGATTATAAATGTATCCATTATATGTTTAATACTACCATTTTCTTTTTCTATTCTACATTGGCGGGCTGACCTAAAAAGAATTATTAAGCTGCAAATGTATTTATATACTTTGATTTTTTTTGTCTTGTTGCTGAAATGTTTTAAGTTGCAATGTCTTATAATATAATTGCTACATTTATTTAAGAAAAATTTTTGTTGTTTACATTCCAGTAGAATGAATGAGGTTTAGAATTTTTTAGCTCAAGCCAGGATCTGAGGTTATTTTTTTGAATTTGGTAAATTGAAAACCCATATGATTTTTTTTTTGGGAGGGTGGGGGGGGGAGAGATTTAAACCTGACATTACATATATGCAAGGCATGAGCAGAGTCCCATGTATGAAACTTCAGATTTTAATGAGCCATCTCTTGGCTAGAATATTTTGTTACTTTGCTGTTGTACTTGAGGTAAATGTTTAATCTAATTTCCATTGTGTGACCTGGGCTAATCCCTCCAGCTTGTCAAACTTAAGTCAATGACATTAAAGCTGTGTCATTGAAGGGTGAAAGGCCAACAATAATAAAGCTGTGTCATTGAAGGGTTAATGGCCAACAATGATAATAAAGCTGTGTCATTGAAGGGCTTGTGGCCAACAATGACAATAAAGCTGTGTCATTGAAGGGTTAGTGGCCAACAATAATAAAGCTGTGTCATTGAAGGTTTAATGGCCAACAATGATAATAAAGCTGTGTCATTTAAGGGCTAGGGGCCAACAATGACAATAAAGATGTGTCATTGAAGGGTTAGTGGCCAACAATGACAATAAAGATGTGTCATTGAAGGGTTAGTGGCCAACAATGATAATAAAGCTGTGTCATTGAAGGGCTAGTGGCCAACAATGACAATAAAGCTTTGTCATTGAAGGGTTAGTGGCCAACAATAATAAAGCTGTGTCATTGAAGGGTTAATGGCCAACAATGATAATAAAGCTGTGTCATTGAAGGGCTAGGGGCCAACAATGACAATAAAGCTTTGTCATTGAAGGGTTAGTGGCCAACAATAATAAAGCTGTGTCATTGAAGGGCTAGGGGCCAACAATGACAATAAAGATGTGTCATTGAAGGGTTAGTGGCCAACAATGACTATAAAGCTGTGTCATTGAAGGGGTAGTGGCCAACAATGACAATAAAACTGTGTCATTGAAGGGTTAGTGGCCAACAATGACAATAAAGCTGTGTCATTGAAGGGTTAGTGGCCAACAATGACAATAAAGCTGTGTCATTGAAGTTTAGTGGCCAACAATGACAATAAAGCTGTGCCGTTGAAGGGTTAGTGGCCAACAATGACAATAAAGCTGGGAAAGTGTAAGCTGTATCATTCTGCTCAGAACTCAACTTGTATAACTAGTGCACTCTGTCCAACAGTATGAATGGAAATCCCCTTAAATAAAATCATCTTTTGAATTTAACCAATGGAATTTCAAATGTGATAATTAGAAAGAAATGTTGTAGCAAACCTTTATCTAGTCCACATATATTGGGGAGGGGGGGTGTGTGATATTCTATATTAACTAAGATGACACTTTAGTTGTTTCAATAGGGAGCCATTATTCTGTGTACAACATTGTCTTTTTCATAACAATGAGATTGCAACATTGGATTTTTTGTTGTTGTTGATCCCAGTATCACAAAACACTCATCAATCTTTACAATAAGTAATGGCTACCTACTATGTCTAGTAATGACTACCTACTATGTCTAGTAATGGCTACCTACTATGTCTAGTAATGACTACCTACTATGTATAGTAATGGCTACCTACTATGTCTAGTAATGGCTACCTACTATGTCTAACAGTAAAATAGCAAAGTATTAGACATTTCGTACTATAACCATCTCGTTAAAAAACATTGGGGCCACAATTAGACCAACTGTGACTTTTACGTACTAGTAACTAGTACACTACTATAACCATCACTTTACCGGTCTATAGGCTAACATTGAGGCTGAGGCCACATTTAGACCAACTGTGACGTTCATGGGAAAAAATGTCAGTTGTCCAATTAAATGTCTGCCGTTTAACCAAAGATCCTGACACAGATACCGTATCCATTAGCCGGGATGTCCAAGTAACGAAATAGTTGTTAGGAGATCTTACACGGAGTGTCATATTGAATCCCTATTGGTAATGATCACGTGATTTGAAATCGATCACGTGATTTGAAATATTTTAAATTATTGTAAAAGGCAAATGACCTCTGTTTGGTCACCCTGTGATTGACCCGTGACCCCGCCATGAATTTCCATCAAAAGATCCGCCCACCTATCAATAGGTTGACCAACACACCGACAGACACACCCAGCGGTGTGTAGACCCACACCCATCCCATCGGTTGACCTTCCAGCTCATCACGTGACATTCCCACCCATCGCTACACATACCCGCGCCCACACCAGCATGGCGCGCACCAGTCATGTTTAGAAAGATTCTTGTCAATGCGTTGTTGAGGTTGGCGCCAAGCGGCACGGGGTGCAAAAGTCGATTGTCATCTCTGTCGTGATGGTCGTGACGTTTCGTTTCGTCTGGTGTCGGCCGTGTTTGTTGCACACATCATTTTGTAACCGATGTTAAAACATTTCTGTGTGTGTCTGCTTGCATTCAGCTTCCACAATAAATGGAATGATTTTGGTGTATGTTAATAAACAGGTTTTCAGTTTGTGATCGTTTGGAAATTTATTTTTGTCTTCATTGGTGAAGTTATGAAATTGTTAAATATATTTTTTTTATTGGACAATTAGGGGTAGCTAAGTAATACTGATGGATTATCTAATCTTGACATGTTAACATCTCAAACTCAGTAATTTTTTTAACAAAACTCAAATATGAGGACCTAAGTATTTCTTATCTATCTATCTATCTATCTATCTATCTATCTATCTATCTATCTATCTATCTATCTATCTATCTATCTATCTATCTATCTATCTATCTATCTGTCTGTCTGTCTGTCTGTCTGTCTGTCTGTCTGTCTG